AAAAATGTTCAGCTAGTTGCAAAGACATCATTTGTCATTTTCTTTTAGTTTTACTTGAAGTACTGAATTAACTAAAATGGCAATAAAAATTAATAAGAACTATAGGCATATTAAAAAAAATATACTAAAACTGACAAAAACATACCTTTTTTAAACTTTAATTTTATCTTGAAATTACAATGAAAGTGTATATGAATATAAAAAATTATATCCAGATATAAATCTAAAATAAAAACCAATGGAAAAAATGAATAAAATTATAATAATATATCAATAATGCTAAAATAGCATGTCTAAAATGTGCTCAAATTATTAAAAATATTTGATCTCTGGTCATATTACTTTATTTGATATTTGATCAACTGGATGGAAAAAGAGTCTAAGGTTAAAAATCAAAGTGCCCATCATACACTATGATTTTCTGTAAAAGTATCAAGTCTGGCAGGCAGGCAATGATTTTTGGCAACTACTGTCAACTCCACTAGACTTTAAATCATGGCACAAATCTGGGTAAAAATTGAGTAGTTTGATCACACTTCATTTTAAGATCCAATTCTCTCTATTAACAAACCATTAACTATGACTTTTTCCTCTATAAACTCCTAAGTTGCTGCTTATTAATAGTTAGTAAGGTAGTTATTTAGGTATTGGGTCGGAATAGGGATGTGGAATATGGTCATGCAGAATATGTGCTTTATAATTACTAATAAACAGCCAATATGTAGATAATAGGCATGCTAATAAGCAACTAGCTAATAGTGAGAATTGGTCCCTACACTAAAGTGTTACCACCAGTAGTTTGCTTCACTGATATATGTATGTATCATGTGATTTCTCAGATTTGTGCCAATATTATGGAGTACTGCCAGACGCTACTGCTGCAGAGCTCAGCTGAAGCCCAGTTCACTCTCTGCCTGTTCAGCCCGTCAGCAAGTGAACCAGCAGGTCAGTCTTTGTGGTCGTCTAACGCCTGTCTCTGTCTGGCTTCTGTAACCTAACTCTGCATGTGATCATGTATCAGATGTGGCCGTTCCCTCTGCGCGGGTGCCCAGTCTGGGATTGGTTCTGCTCCTGCTGAAGAACAGCGCCACTGACTTCTTCCGATATCATGACAGCCACAGACAGAGCCTGAACAAGCTGGAGCGAGTGGAGCAGCTTCCCCCTGAGGAACTGAAGGAGGTATATCTGCCAACACAGGGAACGTTGCAGTAGTACTGCCTAAAATGTGTTTGTTTGATTGTGGGATGTTTAATGTATCTTTTTATGTGCAAAGCTGTGCCAGGGTCTGGTGTCCAGTTCTGGTGGAGTGGAAAAGGTCCCATCAGTGCAGAGAAACGTGCTTGCCAAGCGCCGACTCGTCCAGCTGGTCAACAACCGAGCCAAGCTTCTTGCCCTCTGCTCCTGTATCCTAACACAAAGACTGTTTGAGAAATCAAGAGATGATCCTGTTTGCGTTTCAAAATGATGTTTCTTTTGTTTCATTTTTTGAGAATTACAATCTGAATGCTGGAAACGGTTGCATGTTTTTCTTGACGTTTCTCTGAAGATATCATTGAGACATGCTTGTTTGTGATTTGGCGCCACCTAGAGTTCTACTTGCTGTACTGCACGCCCACTGACCCCAAAGACTCACTTCTGCCAGGTTTCAGAGGTCAGCCGTCTCTCATTCTAGTCTTCTTCAAAGCGCAATCAGTTTTGGGTTGTTTTGCATGAGAGACTCATTTATTGCTTTCTGTGTAGATCCTAGTGGCAGCAGAGGATTAAGTGTGTCAAGAGTGAGCCAGCAAGATCTTGAACAGGTACTTTTTTTTTTGCTTTGCTTTATGTTCTTTGTTCCATACTTTATTTTTACATAAGGCTGGAGTAATGGCTGCTGCAAATTCAGCTCTGCCATCACAGGAATAAATTACAATTTTAAAATATATTCAAATAGACAAAAATAAATACAGCCTTATTCAGGGCTGTCCGAACTCGGTCCTGGAGGGCCGGTGTCCTGCAGAGTTTAGCTCCAACCCTAATTAAACACACCTGAACCAGCTAATCAAGCTCTTACTAGGCATAGAAACTTCCAGTCAGGTGTGTTGAGGCAAGTTGGAGCTAAACCATGCAGGACACCGGCCCTCCAGGACCGAGTTTGGACAGCCCTGGCCTTATTTATCAAGGCGTAAGAAACTTCTTTCAAAAACATAAAAAAAAAAGTCTTGTTTTTGACACCTCTCTGTGTGTGTGTAGTTACAGACTGACGTGGCGAACAGCTTCAATGAGCCGTTGCAGAGGAAGCTGCTGGAGGTGGAGTGTCTGTATAGCAAAACCCGCTCCCGTCACACCTTTATCCAAGCCCTGACGCGCAGGATCCGTGGCCTAGTGCATCACGCCAAAGGCTGAACACTTGCATACATGTATATTTCCTCTAATAGTGCTAAACAGTACTCTTTTGAATTAGGTAGCAAATAGTTGCTTTTTTGCAGTTTTGAATACTATCAATCCACACATGAAATTTTCTTGCTCTGAAGATCTCGGTATTGGATTGATTTTTTCTAATGTGGTAAATAAATGGTTTTCCAAACAGATGATGGTTGTTTGTGATTTTTTTTTTTTTAAATCAAGATGGTAAGTACAGTTCTTTGAGAAAATAAAGCAGTTTTGTTTCTGGTGATTTGTGCAGTGAAGAGCAGAGGCACAAAACCATTGCAGAATAATCTTGTTTTATTTTACAAGGTACGCTTTATAGAAAACAGTAAAGTGCGTAATCTTCAGTTTCATTTGTATGTCTCGGTTTTGAGAGCTGATGTAGCTTTACTGCGGAAGGGATTCTGGGAGTGAGAACCAGCAGACTACATTCAGATCGCATGGTAAGGATTGTTTCAAATGGCAACAATGAGCACACATCCATGTTTTAATACAGAAACTCACATTTAATATACCAACCCAGTTGCTTCCATAGTTTGCCTGTAAAAATGTGTGCGTAACTACAATGTCATAGGCACGTCCCATTCAGAAAATATGGACTGTGAAATAAACAACTGATTGACAGAAAAATATGATTACAATTCACAGCCTTGATATGTTTCAAGGTCAAGTAGCTTTTGAATTGTTCATTGTTAACACATGACAAGTTTCTCAGAAACATCAAACCAAATAGTGGTTTCTTTTCAAATAAAAATTCAGCTTAAGATTAGTGAGTGTGAAAGAAGGCCTGTAACTCACAACGTTGATGTGATGAAAGTGAAGCCAAATTAATTTCCAGTAATGCTAAGAATATGCAGATGTAAGTGTGAACGAAATACATGCTTATTTCTTAAATACAAAGGATGAATAAATGGTCCGATCTAGACTGGGAGCCTTTTTGTGCTATGTAAAATCATGCTTTCCACTATAAATTATTTTTAAATAAAATTATAATTACAGTTTTTAAAGAACATATACATGTGTCCCTGCTCCAGCTGGCCTACTGAGTGTGATCGTGCTGCCCACAGTACAAAACCACCTCCTCACACCCATCCCCATCAGTCAACTGACTGTCTACGAATAAAAGATCCATTACAGAAACTATAACACAGCTTTGATTTACAACCACTAAATTGATACACTAAATACTGAATCTATTACCATGATTAGCGAGCTGATCAATCACACACTGTCCATCTCTGATAATGCTAAGGAATAAGTCTGCTGAGCTACTGACACCAAAGCCACAATTTAGTTCATGTTTGATTCGAATGTGCTTTTAAATGAGAAAAAGTGAAACAGCTTATGGTGAGTGAACATTATTCACATTATCTAGACTGCTGTTGTTTCATATCTGAGGCACTGCAAACCAGAAGGTGGCGTTGAAGCTCACTTGATTACATGTTATATCTGCATCCTTGTTTTAGGTTGGTTAATATTGTCCTAGGAGGGTTGCAACGGTATGATAACAGTGTCACGGCTTTGCGGTATAAGTTACTGTATTCCATATTTGATTTTGTATTTAAATCAAATGTATTTTAGCTGCACGTCAGTTTTTCTTTAAGGTAAAAACTAATGCTGTAAACTAAACGTGAAAACCCTCTCAATTGAAACATTACTAATATTAAATAGTTAGAGACCAAACTACTGAATTTAGTAAACAAAACAGATTTTCCCAAAAACATTCAAATTGCGCATAAGGTAGTTTCCATAAAAACTTCAAACATATATAAATCATTATTCTTCTTTATGCACCAAGAGCTTGTAACACTCCAAAAATTTAAATCGCATCATATGACCCCTTTAAAGTCTGTCTTGCTAACTCTCAAACTTTCCTGAGGTAAATATGTCACGTGTTATTCACAAGCAGTTTCACTGACTTCTTTTCGTGGTTAAAACACTGATTGGGCGATTAAATGAGAGCTAACATTTCAACAAGTTGTTCTAAATCTTTCAACATACCTTCTGATGTTCATTCATTCACGTTTATTTCGTGGTAATGTGTTAGTAAAGGTAAGGTGATTGGTTCCCGCCTGCTCCACGCTACCGCTTTGTCTGCATGCAGATACAATCGGTCACACATTAAAGAGTGCCAAAACGCCATTTATTATCTGGATTTCGTGATAAAATTGGCAGAATTTGAAAGCTGAGACTTTTGTTGAAAAGTAGGTAATTGGGCTACAAGTAAACGTGAGGCTTTATTCAGCCTCACATTAGATAAGCAAATTGTCAACTTCAATACCATGATACCGCTGCAACCCAACCTAAGATCAACAACGATGACAACACACAACATGTCTGCTGGCCATAATGAAGCATGCAGAGCAGTTTTCATCTGAATGCAATGTACTGTATATATTTGCAGTAAATTGCAATCTTGTCTTTTGAAAAGCACTCAAGTCCTGTATATACAAATCATATATATATATATTTTTTTTACAACGGTGTCAACACGTCTGGATTTCTGCCTCAATATGCTATACATACAACATGTAAATGTTCTGAATTGTACATTTTTTACATTAGGCTTAAAACCGCGTCAGTATGGTGCGATGATGAATAGCATGTCTTAGTTCCTCCATGTACACTTCACATGTGCACCATTTGTTTGCATCCTTTGTGAACTTCAAATCTGTCAGATAAGGATCAAGCTGATATCCATGTGCTTTAAAGCCCCATATTCTGGATGCGTTCAAATCCAAATGGAACTTTAGGACAACTGGACCAGCAGTGAAGGCGCAGCAAACGGGAGCGTCAACACTTTTCCTACCGACAGCACTGCCACGTCAGTACTAAAATCTTCAACGAGAGTTTGCTCTGTTTGCTCAGACACCATTAGAGCTCGGCTCTTGGGTGATTTCCGTAGAATGGTTGTCTTCAGGCGATTCTGGTTCCTCTCCCGTCACCGCCATACGGATCACTTTGAGCCAGCGCTGTTTCAGTTCCTCGCTCTCTGCTGCAAAGCTGTGGACTGATTTAGACTGAGATAGTCGGAAGCTCGCGGGAGGGTCGGTGGGTCTCAGGCTGTCCTCCACCTGGTAGCCGAGCAGAGGAATCGTGGACTGGGCCTTGACATCCTGTGAGGACAGTAAGTCTTAGTTTAGTAAAGGGAAGTGCTGTGCAGGAACAGAAATAGGACGGTTCAGTGAGATAAAAGTAGGGCTGTGCGATATTGAAGAAAAATGCGATATGTGTTTTGTTAACATTAGTGACATTCAGCAGCAGGTATTTATAGGCTGCTGTCCCTTTAAATCCAACTGCACGGATCCAGTATAACGATACACATCCGATTTCTTTCTCAGCTGTTTACATTCATTTAAACATAACTGACTGTGTTTACGAGAATGATCGTCGAGACGGGTACTATTGACAATTCTGTGTCGAGATGCGGCTTGTGCGCGCTTCAGGTGTGAGTCAGACAGCAAGACGAGACGGCAAAGAGTTGTTTTCTGCAACTTATTGCACTTAATAACTCTTTTTAACTTCAAGCAATTCTCTGCTATATGCGTCGAACTAAAACTTTGACCTTTTGCAACGTTTTGATTTAAGTAGCCTATTATTAAAATGATAATGATATCGCACGCAGTTGCGATATGCATATTGCGATATTTCGATAATTTCGATATATCGTGCAGCCCTAGATAAAAGCACACTGACCTGTGGTGCTCCGTACAAGTAGAGAACTAGAGCTTCTTTTTGAGGAATGACACACCAGACTTTCTGCCAGGGCTTGTTCTTCTCGCAGTACTGCAGGAAGCCACACATGATACTGTTGCCCGAGAACTGAGCAGCTTCAATCTGTGAGGGAGAAGAAGTGAAGTTTAGCACTGTAGTGTGAATGCTTTATCACTCCTGTGTGAGATGACAGCGTGAATTTAATGAAGCCTGTCAAGCCTGTCTGGGTCATATTTCACTTCAACATGAAAATGAAAAAAAATAATAATAATTTTTTTTTTTAAAGAATATTAAGCCTAACAAAAAAAATAAATAAATATATAAAATAAAATTATATATATATTTGAAGTATTAGCTAATTATCATACAATTTTTACACTATATTTTCATTATATATTGGTTGTTTCATAGTTTAACTTATTTTTGTCTTATTATTTCATAGTTTAACTTATTTCTGTCTTATGTTTGTGCAATTTCAAAACCAGAGGAATAATTTGCTTAAATAAACATGGGGGGAAAAAACTTTATGGACCTAATTATGGAAGTATTTGCTTGGAATGTATACTATATATATATTGTAAAATATATATTTAATTATTTGTTAAATTGCTGATTTCAATAATAGAAAAACTCATGTAATGACAGGCATCAACAATGTACAAAATAACAATGACAAATAAAAAATTCAAACTAAAGTGCAAAAAAACTGGATTAAATAAAAATAAGCCTTCATTTAATTTATGCAAAATGTATTTTTTTTTTATTGTAATTTTGAGGTGAAATATGAATCTGACATTCACTGAAAGTGAATAAAACAAAAAGAAGGTCAAAGAAAAGGGTTCAGTTTTTCAGTATTTGTGATAAGCCAGCGCACTTCATCAAAAGTCAGTTTGCTTCAATGATGCACAAAGTGACAATTTAGAACAGGGAACAAGCAAAACTGATACTTCACAAATGTATTTTAAAAATGATTTCCATAATCTTTGTAGCTTTGCTCCCTCTTCTAAAGTGTTACCAAACCAGAACGTTAAAACATCAGGGTACCAGTGGTAACACTTTATAATAAGCTTTATTAATAATATTAACATTATTGCATTACATGATGCTAAACAGATCATTAGTTCATGTAAATTAGTTAGAAATGAAACTTGAGTTTGTATTTTTTCATACATACTCATGAATGTACATCAACTGATCTGTTAAGCATTACTGAATGTTTGTTAATGACTGGTTACCGCAGGTTATTATAAAGTGTTACAGACCGATCTTACCGCTGCCGAATTCACCGCAACAGTTCGTGGACGTCGGATTTTCTTCCGTAACTGCATATATATAAAGGTTATATGATATCCTTTTTTTCTGACAGTACAGTGTGTGGTCATTGATACATTAAGGAATGCAGCTCTGACCCCAGGTCACATGATCCTGAACTCACCTCTAGAATGCCCTTCTTCTTGCCCTCCCTCTCCTCACTGTCTATATGGCCTGTCAGGATGGAGTTACAGTCTTTGCACACCTTGTTCATCCTATTCCCATCATATTCCAGAGGGGCTTTGTAGTCTGAGCACTTCCCGCAGACCACCTGAATGAAATAGACATTTCAGCACATGACAAGCATTTTGAAATTGTGAAAACAGAATGTTTTTGGTTTGCTGCTGCTTACGTATCCACAGGCCCGACAGTGATGTCTCCTGCGCATTAAGGCATTAAAGGCCTCTTTGCACCTCATGCACATGGTCACCTCATTGTCTCGAATCCAGCGAGGAGCTCTTTTACCCAGTTCTGATATCTTGAGATCCTACACAGAAATATAGACATGTGTAAACAATAAAAACAAACAAATCTGGACTACTATGACTCTATAGTCCTGCATTATGTGCACACATAAGAACATATGCACAAAACATGAACCTCGGACTTACACAATAAGATTTAAACATCAAATTAAACTAGCATTACCATTCATGTAGTACTTATTTATAGAATTGAGACATGATACAATGGCTAAATTAATATAAATCATTTTGATTTAATCATTTATTTAAATAACTGAATAATTTTCAATTTAAATAATAATTTAAAAACTAATAAATAATAGTTTTTAAAACCTGAAAAATTAGGTTAAGTTTGCATGAAATAAAAAATCACGTCACATATTTTCGGTCTTATTCCATTTCATCTTTTATTAATTTAAATAATATTAATTTAATTATTAATGTGAATAATTTAAATAACAAAAAAAAATTGTCATTTAATTGTTTATTTAAATCATATTTAAATAATTCAATATTGTATTATTTAATTTAAATCATTTTTATTTAATTATTAATTTAAATAATTAAAAATGTGTCATTTCATTGTTTATTTAAATAATTCAACATTCTAAATATGCTCTTCTATAACACTTCTAAGAAGACACACACTGACCGTTACTTCCTCCACATCTTTGAATGCTGACTTAAAGGTCTCATTTTTCTGGAGATAGATGTATATCGTTTCCTGGAACGCCTAAAACACAAATGAAGACATTTTAAAAATGGACTTCCAATGACTTGATAATAATCAACATTGATATTACATTTTTACCTTTATCCAGCTTTCTTTATCCTGTTCAGAGCTGTAATAAGGCAACAGTTAAAACCATTTACCCTAAGACAACCATTAAAAACACCCAGTATTGAAGAATACACAGTATGCATTATGAACGCAAGAACAGCTGGTCCAGTCTGTACCTGGCCTGCAGCTCCAGTGTCCGTTCCTTTCCAGAAACCTGAAAGGTGTGAGGATAATCATCATTGTACGTCTCCGTCACCTTCATGCCATCAATGCCGATACGTGTGCGAACCGTAAACTTCTGTCCCACCAAGCTAAACTTTGGAACGCAGTACAGCAGCATGTTGTTGAACTGTGGGAAAAGTTCATAGAGATTTATAATAATACATTGCCAAATGCTACTATAATCAGAACTCATCAATGGCCAGCATGGACTTACTAGGAAGAGATATCTGTCCATGGCTGAAGTGTTTCTTGCTGCCAGCTTCAGAATATGACCCTCTTTTATTAACTCATTCGAAGGGTTCACAATGTCCTCTTCCTCCCCCAGCATCTCATAAATCTCCAGCAATTTCTTAAGGTTTTCCTAAGAGACAGAAGACAGTATAAAGAGAAAGAGCACAAAACAATCTTGAATATACTGTAGGTTTCAAGAGAAAAGCACTTAATAATACATCATTTTAGCCTGACTTTTGAATTTTTGGAAGATGTTATTAAAATGAGAGTCAGTTATCACGTGATCTAATCTAGAGATTCATTTGTACAGCAGATAAAGAACACTCACTGTTTTCCTAATGGCAGTGTTGGAATGAGTGGCAGCCATGGCAATGATCTCTAAAGACTCTGCAGAGACAAATATTTCACATTTCGAAAAGGTCATGTTTGACATCTGGTTTAGGAATCTGCTCACTCCTGAACTCACTTTCAGCATCCCGCCGGTCTATGTGATCCTGAGGAAGTTTCTTCAGATAGTCTTTGAGCAGCATCTCGTATCGTGGCACTCTCTGAACAGGCTCCAACATGTGGTGCTGCAGCGTCAGACTTCCACACACTTCTTGACTCTGAACACACAAACACAGACACGTCAATCTACAAACACTAAAGGCGGCAAAAACAAACAGACACTGTATATCAACAAAGAGTAAAGATAGTCAGGCTGATTAAATCAGACGTAATGTGGCTATTTTTTCCATTATATCAGTACTAAAATCTACCAACATCCTTATTAATTAATAATCAAAATGTATCTGCTCACTCCTGAACCCCCTTTCAGCATCCCGCCGGTCTATGTGATCCTGAGGAAGTTTCTTCAGATAGTCTTTGAGCAGCATCTCGTATCGTGGCACTCTCTGAACGGGCTCCAACATGTGGTGCTGCAGCGTCAGACTTCCACACACTTCTTGACTCTGAACACACAAACACAGACACGTCAATCTACAAACACTAAAGGCGGCAAAAACAAACAGACACTGTATATCAACAAAGAGTAAAGATAGTCAGGCTGATTAAATCAGACGTAATGTGGCTATTTTTTCCATTATATCAGTACTAAAATCTACCAACATCCTTATTAATTAATAATCAAAATGTTCTCTTTTCAAATCATTTTGAGTTTAAACATTTTTCAAATCTGGCTATTGAAAAGGACTCTCGGTGTTCAAGAGTAACAAACTGCAGTTTAAGGGTGCTTTCACACCTGGCCCGTTGTTTCAGAACCTGGCGCGTTTCCCCCCTTAGCTCGGTTCGTTTGGGCATATGTGAACACGGCAATCGCGCTCGGATCCGCGCCAAAACAATCGGTCCGAGATCGCCTGAACGAGTTGGTCTCGGCTCGATTGAAAACGAACTCTGGAGCGGTTCGGTTATAGTGAGAAAGCAATCCGATCCAACGGACCAACGAACCAGGCTATATCACAGTGTATAATGGGCAATTACATAAGTTCCGTGAAAAGCATTAGCTTTGTTGTTTTGCTAATACTTCAAAATGAACCTGTGAATGTCTGTGGGTGAGCACGTCTTCGCCATTCAAAATCAAAGCGCACTTTTTCATTATATAATGCTGTCTTATTGCTCTTCTTCCTAGTAAGTGCATTTTAAAAATGTTTTCCCGATGAATACTGGACTCCTGCTCAAAGTTATAAGTTAATATAACGACATTTTCAAAAAAAACCCAACAATAAGCTTGTGAAGCTGTTGTCGTTCCATCCTGACGGAACACAGCTGTGACAGCTATGCCGAATCCCGGAAAATAAACCGTGAAACTTTGACCAATGTGAGAACAGTTTACTCGCGCGTGACTTGTATTAACAAATTTGGTCCGTTTAGAAACTTTGCCGTGTGAAAGTGAACCGCACCAAGAATAAAAAGCAACATTGTAATAATTTTAATCCCTGTTTCGGAACAAAGCAATCGATCTACAGGTGTGAAAGCACCGTAAGACTATACACATCAATGTTCACCTGGATTTCCAGAATGATGGCTTTAAATGGAGGCGATCGGTCCGTCCATTGCTTCAGCAGATCCATGGCATGATCAAAGTTCCTCACATATTCAGCGTACATCTTCAGAAAGGGAGTGAGTTTCTGTAGGATGTCCCCAATGCGAGGTGTCGACGTCCTTGAGGAAAAGTCTCAGAGCATTAAGACCATATTCCTACCGATTAAACCAAACACAATGTCTGAGAAGAGAGAGTGTGAACGTCTTACCATTCTCCCATGCGTTTTTCCAGATCAGGCAGAAGGAACTGGCTGTGGAAGGTATTAATGGAAGAGATGTTGGAAAATATGTTTTTCACCACATCCATGGGGAACGCGTCTTTTCTTGCTTCTTCTAACAGCTTGGCATAAAACACCTGCAGGCCCAGAGTTAGATGATGTATGGTCTGTTTGCATACTACTATATTTAACATGCTCAGATTGAACAACAATGCTCATGTACTGGTTTCCCATTTAGGGCCTTGCTAGAGTTTTGTCAGTCTTTGAAAAAGCAAAAAAAAAAAAAAAAAAGCTTTCATGAAAGACAATGTGAGCCCTTACCTTATCTAATAAGTTGAGTCGTGTAACATAAGCCTTCTCTGTCTGCAGAAGTTCGTTTGCTATCTTGTAGAGCTTCTGCTCATTAGTTTCCTAAATAAAAGAAGTTCAATTTTAACATAAATACATAAACACAAATCAACATCATTTTTTACATATTTGCTTCAGGCAAATGTTGGTTTTTAAAGATCTTTGATGGTGAATAATGTCATATTTAACACCAAAAAAAACAATAAAACATTGTACATAAAATATTTATGACCATTTTTTAAAAACAAACAGTATAAAAGCATTACTACAAATACTCATTTATATACTTTACCATTTAAATATAAAAGAAATAATTATACAATGATATGAAAATAATAAATAATATAAATAACAAATAATAAATAGAAAATAATGGCACAATTACAAAAATATTAATAGTCTTTTAGCAAAATATAATTTTTTTCCTTTTTATTTTTAGGGTGGAATATGACCTCTATTCACTCTTTAAAATGAAAAGCGGTCCAAGTTCATATTTTACTTTACCTTTGCCAGCTCTTCTTGAGACACTATGAATAATTCAGATTGTCTAAAGTTCTGAGCTTTGGGCTCGTTATAACTTAAATTATACAACACATTTTTGTTGAGTTTGCCGAGAGGGAACTATAACACTGCAGATGTGTCTTTGGTGGGAGATCCAGCTCAGCTCAGGGCTGAAGGGAAACAGAGCTCTGAACGTAAGGGTCAAGGGCAAAGCCAATTCAGAGGTTGACTCCCACTCCACCTACATTCCTCACCTCGCCCTTTTTCTCTCTATCACACCCATACACAAGTGAACATCCACTGGCATACACTCGCTGTACACGCTGAGGTCTGTTAAAGCAACTTCCTGATGTACACTGCCCACAAACAGTACTGCTATCTACCTGTCAGCACTTTAAAGACACATCTTCTTATCAGAGCTCACATAAATAACCTTTGAACTATTTCAGACACCCTCCACCACTTAGCTGATGAAAGAACCCAAGCTAACTTCCAATACGTCCAGCCTTTGGCACAGCTGACTGCAATTCTAAAGAAGCTCATTGTCGAAATTTACCTCAGAGGACAGGAAATGAAAGGATGGATAAGAGGAAACAAGTTAAGCCAATAAAAGAGGGACTGGTGTGGACAAAGGATTGAAGGTCTGTGTTTTTGAAGCTTCACGCGTGTTCACATTCACAGAAAATCTGGTCTTTTATAATTTATATTCAATGTAAATAATTAAAACTATAAAATAACACAAATGTATGTAAATTATATAGTGACCAACAAATGTTAATCAAATAATATTATTAATGATAAAATAAATAATTAAAAACAATAAAATAATCTAATTAACATTTTAATTACTCTTAAAATAAATAAAACTATGATATAACACAAATGGAAGTAAGTGAATTATGTAGTGGCCAAAAATGTTATATAATACATTTAAAAATACTAATATTAATTAAAAAATATTATTAATAATGATCAAATGAGTATGTAAAACAATCAAATATCCTAAATCAAAATTTCAAAATGCAATTATCATTAAAATAATTAAAGCTATGAAATAATTCCACTTCTATTACATCCACCTGTGTCATGTATTGGCCAAAAATGTTAAACAAATAATAATAATAATAATAATAATAACAACAACAAAAACTACAAAATAACACAAATGGAAGCAAGCATATTATGTAGTGACCAAAAATGGTTTAAAAAATAATATTAATAATAATAAAATAAATAATTAAAAACTAGAAAACATTATAATTAATATTCAAATATTTAAAACTAGAATACAAATGGAAGTATGGGAACTATTATTAAGTAACCAAAAATGTAAAAACAAGCAAAAAAACAAAAAAAAAATGAAACTGTCTTGTACTGTATTTGAACTTCAGGAGGTGCATGCCGGGATGCTTTTTAAGTGCCACTGAAAGAGCCATTGAAAGAGTTCCAAAACAAATTATTTAAAGCTGCAGTCCGTAACATTTTTTGTGTTCAAAATTTACAAAATTGATATAAGCGAGTACACCATGAATCCATTTTCCAAACCATGTTTTTGGCTTGTCCTGAATCACTACGGTACACCTATAATAAGTGTTATTAGGGATGGGCATTCCAAACAAAAATAATATTAGAAAATCGCAGGGTATTATTCGAAAATCGCACCCCTCCCCCGCATGCACACCATAAATCAACTGCTCATAAGGCTAGGACATTTCCATTTCAAAAAATAGAACCCCTAAAGGAAATAGATACGAGATGGGAGGAAAAATATACTTCAATATTTTCTGTCGCAACTATATCGTTGGGTAATCATACTGTATATAAACTGTGGGCATCAGGGAGCCGTTATTAATATGCGGGGCATTTAAATCGCTTTTGAACGCGTGCTCTTTTTACTTTCACTTTCGAGATTCGCGATCACACGTACGTACGGAGCAGCACTCGGCAGTACTTACCACACATTTTACAAGATTAGATGTTTGTCAGTGGTGCTCAGGATCTGCAAATCATTCGCCATCATCCTATCAGTCATCTCTCCTTACTCTGTTTTTGTGGTAAGTGAAATGTTATGTACTGTAATGTAACAGGCTACCGTTAGCAAGCGGCTAACCATGTCCCTTTAGTGGCTCCGTAGAACACGTTATTTGTTTACCGTGCCTTTCTGAATACGGATTCAGCCACATCTCTAACCCAGTCGGGGGTGTTTGTGGTCCGCACAGAACTCTTATTTGACATCGTCCCAAGTTACTGTAACTGTTATATGCCACGCAAGTCTACAGTGTGCGGATGAGACAATGTGTTCTCCTGTTGTCTTTGACAGCAGCTTTTAGGTGCGTTATTGGCAGCGCCACCCTCTGCTTACATGAACACCACCGCATCAGCACGGAAAACATGGGGAGACAATAATCGCACAACCTATTCGATATTCTATAATTAAATCAACTAATCGAATATTCGAAAATCGTGACACATCCCTAATTCGGATTATTTTAGACTGGTTCGTGTAGGTACCGCTGCGGAGTAGCCCAGTACCTGTATGATTCATCATAGACATAAACAGAGAGAAGTAGCTCCGGCTACAATGTTCTTCCGCAAGATGCACGCAGTTCTGTTTATTAACCGCTAGAGCGGCAAAAGTTACGGACTGCAACTTTAATCTGTTTACCAATTTATTGACTACATGACTAAGCATTTAAACACAAGATTTTAGTTTTTTAAAACGATAACATACACTTCAGTCAAGCACGTCCAAAGTATTGATTGTAAACATCAGAGACGATATCTTATAGTGGAAGAATGCCATTAAACAGAATTCATTTTGGTAATATATAGCAGCTGTTTTTAAAAAGCAATAATGCACTCAAAGCTGTGCTGTATTGTGGCCCTTTAGCCGTGACTATACTAACAATATAGAAAGGCCTTGAGTGCGTAAGTGTACCATAATGACAGATTTTGTAATCAGACTTCAGTCTACTTGACCCACATCTACAAGATTTAAAAAAACAAAACAAAACAAAAAAACTAAACTAGAAGCATTAATCCATCTGCAATGTTTTCTTCAGAGGAAATGAAGACCTGGCCTGTAAGACTAATGTGAATGTCAGCATGTAAATCTAGCAGATGAGACAGCACATTGCTCAGCCGGGCCCGAGGTGTCAAATAACTGTGTGACAGTGTCACTACTGACTCCATAAACACACTCACACTCACACTCACACGGACAGACAAAATCTGCGCAGATCAGACAAAATACTCCTCACCAAAACCATCTTACCTTCTGCTCTGGGATGCTGTTCATCACAATGTCACGCTGCTCCGGCGCTTTCTTCTCCTCCTCTTCGGCCCGTTCTATGTGAGCGTGAGGTGTATCTACACAGTCCTCGTCCATAATTTCCCTCTTAGCCACATCGCCGGCATCTCCGTTCAGCAGTCCCTGCCTGTCTGTCCTCATGACCGGAACCGTGTCGTGTGTAATTCCGTCCATGTCCCGATTCCTGTCCTGTTCTCTCTTCTTTTGGGCTAGGACCCCATTGGGGGGTTTGAGAGCATGGCGTGGGCTGTTCGCAGGAGAGCCGGAGTCTGTGGGCTGCTCTGTCTGTCTCTGGTAGTTTTTGTGAGCCGGGCTGCAGTTAGGAGATATGCTGACCTGCTTCAGAGGACCGCCCTCCCTCCGACTGTCTGTGTGACTGTTGAGAGAGAGAGAAAGCAGAGGAAGGTCACCTTCTTTAGAGTCCGAGAACTCCAAAAGACCACTAACTTTTACAGTTGGCGAACAGAAAGAGAAAGATGAGTTGTTTGTGTGAATGTGATGGCGCTAAAAGAAGTGTTGAACAAACTTCCTCTGTCTTGTGGGGCAGCGATGTGTGCGTCTGCAGGGGACGTGTGAATGAACGGGTCATGGGAGGAGTGGAGGAAAAGAGGATAGGAGGAGGATGGGAGGAACAGAGAGTGTGAGGAGAGGTAGAACGCGGCTGCAGAGTGTCCCGTGAGACACGGCTGCCCTACTTCAGAACACATGCCAACATGCAAGAACATACATTTACACACTCAAGAGAGCGAGACGTCTTTCTCTTTTGAACAAAATGCTTTCAGGGACAGTGGGAGCAAACTATAAATTATGTAAGAGATCATGTACAGTGCACCCAGACAGTCTGGTTTTTGTGATGATGACAGGATGACTGGACAGGATCCCAGTTATTACACGGCTGCTTAATAAATAAATAAATAAATAAATGGACATGAAATATTGATTTGAGTTGAAATTATTACTATAAGACCAGCTCTATCAATTTGAGCTGCTTTGACAAGAAAAATATTTTAAGTTTTATGCACAAATACAACATTTAATTGTATTAATCTATTAGTAAATGTCAAAATTAACATTAAGAATAAGAAATGCTTTAGAATTATTTGAATTGTTAGTTCATGGTAACTAATGTTGACAAATGTAAAATTATTGCAAAGTGTTACCAAGCAATTAATATAATTTGAAAGCTGAGATTTTGTTCCTTAAAAAATATCATAAAACAAGTTTTTTTTCTCTTAGAATCGAATCTCCGCAAATGCTTCATTACAACTCAAAATGAGTGGGTCACTTATAGCGATGGTTCAATCAGAATCAAGTATTCCACAGCGCCGTGTAATAAGAATACTTTTTTGACTGATGAACGATAAATAACAGAGATGCACAATATAGAATCATCAATATAAAATCCCAATATTTAATATTTTATACCATATATATAAATCAAATTTTTTTTTTCATAACTGATATGATATATTTTGAGTTTATCCATTCAAAAAATTTGTTCAATTCTAAAGCCCAATTTAAGCTTATTTTTGTTTCTGTATAAGCATTTTACAAGTAAAATCAGGCATTAGAATATTACAATGTACAATAGAGAAGATGAATAATTGTTTAGCTTAAAATATGGTATAGAAAAAAATAGGGGGAAAAAAATAAGTCTTGATAACATTTGTTTCTTATCCAGACCAATACTGATATAAAAAATGATAATGTTGGCAATATGGTCACTGATATATTGTGCATCCCTAATAATCATCAAAACTCCACTTAAGCAAACTGTAAAAACATGATCCATTCATAACTTCACATAAGCGTGCATAAACCGAACAAAATTAAGCCACAATATAAGGCTTTGTGGTTCATGCACACACACACAAACACACACACACACACACACACACACACACACAGATATCCTGCACCTCCAGCTGTTTCCCTGTCTACGGCCCACCTGCCCTCTAGATCAGATAGCATTTCCTGTGAGATAGAGAATGGAGATGTGGATCTGAGGGTACGTAGCACTACAGTGAACACTCCAGATTACAGACAGCTATTAATACACCGTTGAGCTCTGGACTGCTGAGATGGATTAATATGTGCTATCTAATATTTTGTTCAGTGCATGACTCAAAACTTTTCAAATCTGTCCCATTCAAAGAACAAAAGCTAAGTCTTTGTAATCTGGTATGATGAAACCTAGTTACAAACAAGGTATTTCAGGAAAACAAAATTAAGCTATCAAATGAAGCCACACAAGCATGGCAGTATGGATTTCATAGTTTTTTTCCCATGAGGTTGTAAACCAACCACCTGCAGTTCTCTGAGGTCACGGCTCTTCGGTCAGCATTCATAAGTATGTCTTGGCCCAGGCCAGACAGCCGCAGGAGTTATCAGACCCCGGTTTACTCGTCAATCAACTCGTGCACTCTTACTTTGCTCCAGAGCTTACAGGATGAATTCCTGCACAGATTCTGACCCACACACAACACAATGGCACTAGACCGGCAGGCAAAACAGGATAAGGGCTTGGAGGGATTTATTTGTGAGGAACTGGGGTTAATGGTCAGTCCATTTTGTTACTGTGGCCATATGGTTTCATATGACCTGACTACACCGATGCTGAGCTACAGACTTATAGCAGATGAAAGGAGTGAATTTTATGCAGTAAAGCAATGCTTCACTCTGAATTCATCATGGTTAAGGGGCTTTGTAGTGTTTAAACCCATGTAACCATGGTAAAAACAGTAATGCACTTCCTCAAGTGGCTTATTTCATAAAACAGCAGCAAAAGCAATGTGATAGAAGACACCAATGTTTAATAAATAACTAAATGCATTAACAATAATCACAAAAAATGAAATTCTTTTGCCAAAAATATAGTATATTGCGAATTTCATGTTACTTGATGAGACTTTCACAATTGTTCTGTTACAACGCCTCAAATTTCGAAAGTGCTGTATGCTTTAAAAACATGAGCTATGAGTTTATGTGCTTGACAAATTAGACATATTTAGCAACTTTTTAAACCATTCAATGATTTCAAAATTCATGTTTGAGGTATGACAGTGTGTAATTTATGTTGTAGAACAAAATGTGAAAGTCTCTTCAAATAATGTGAACCACAGATCTTGTTTTACTCTTAAAAACCCATTAGAAATTCCAGAGGGAGCCCATGGTGAATTAGCCTTCCGGGTCGGCCTACAAATGACTGAACAGCTCTATTGGCAGCAGTAAAACATAAGGCATGAGCCATTATAAAGTATAAATCATTCTACTTTGTTGAATAGCACCAGCTTTACGCACTTTCAAAATAGTTGTGCACGAAGTAACAGTGAAGAATAGATGGCTAGACATAAATTGATAAATCAATCTTACCTCCTGTGTTGAAGTTTTATCACACACAACAGCAAATGTCTCATACAATACCAGTTCTTTCCACAACGCTTGAGAAACACTGAACAGAACGTTAGAGTAAAAACTAGCTTCTGCTTTTTTATCTTCTTGTGCAATGTCAGGGCAGACATTCCTTTACAGTAATTTAATCACGTTACACATCTGACTTTGATTTCACAGTATTTCTCTCTATATCGCACAAACATAATTTTTTTTAAAGAAATTAATACTTTTATTCAGCAAAGATGCATTAAATTGATCAAAAGTGACAGTAAGGAAATTTATAATGTTACAAGAGTTTTCTACTTCATATATGCAGTTCTTTTGATTCTAAATTTTCTATTCATCAAAGAATGCTGACAAAATGTATCATGGTTTCCACCAAAATATTAAGAAGAAAAACTGTGTGAGCGTCAAATCAGCATATTAGAATGATTTTTGAAGGATCATGCGACACTGACGACTGGAGTAATGATGCTGAAAATTCAGCTTTGTCATCACAGGGATAAATTATTTTAAAATATATAAAAACAGTTACTATAATTTTGCAATAATATTTCATAATATTACTGTATTTTTGATTAAATAAATGCATCCTTGGTGAGACGTCTTTTTTAAAAACATCTAAAAAAAATCGTACTGACCCAAACTTTTCAAGGGTAATGTACCAACGTGAAAACACTTTCAAGGTATACTTTTGCAAAAGCAAACAAGATCAATGAACTTATGTTAGAGAATGTCAGTATCTACAAATCCATGAACAGAGGAAAGAGAGGTAGATATTGATCGCAAGTTTACCTGTTCTCCTCAAAGCGACTGATGAGGTTGGACACTAGGCCCTTCCCTATTGCTCCTCCTACTCCTCCTCCATCCATGTTGGGACTGATAGGTGACGTTCCAGCAGCCAGAGGAAAGGAGACTTCCGTCACCAGACTCTGAAGGTGTGCTGGCTTAGGAGGCACTGCGGGAAAAGTCACAAAGAGGACAGAGATTATGTAATTATGTTTGCATGCTAATGTAACAAAGCTGATATTTACTGTACACAATCCAAGAAAATGGTGAGACGTCTTTTTTAAAAACATCTAAAAAAAATCGTACTGACCCAAACTTTTGAAGGGTAATGTACCAACGTGAAAACACTTTCAAGGTATACTTTTGCAAAAGCAAACAAGATCAATGAACTTTTGTTTCTGTATAAGCATTTTACAAGTAAAATCAGGCATTAGAATATTACAATGTACAATAGAGAAGATGAATAATTGTTTAGCTTAAAATATGGTATAGAAAAAAATAGGGGGAAAAAAATAAGTCTTGATAACATTTGTTTCTTATCCAGACCAATACTGATATAAAAAATGATAATGTTGGCAATATGGTCACTGATATATTGTGCATCCCTAATAATCATCAAAACTCCACTTAAGCAAACTGTAAAAACATGATCCATTCATAACTTCACATAAGCGTGCATAAACCGAACAAAATTAAGCCTCAATATAAGGCTTTGTGGTTCATGCGCACACACACACACACACACACAGATATCCTGCACCTCCAGCTGTTTCCCTGTCTACGGCCCACCTGCCCTCTAGATCAGATAGCATTTCCTGTGAGATAGAGAATGGAGATGTGGATCTGAGGGTACGTAGCACTACAGTGAACACTCCAGATTACAGACAGCTATTAATACACCGTTGAGCTCTGGACTGCTGAGATGGATTAATATGTGCTATCTAATATTTTGTTCAGTGCATGACTCAAAACTTTTCAAATCTGTCCCATTCAAAGAACAAAAGCTAAGTCTTTGTAATCTGGTATGATGAAACCTAGTTACAAACAAGGTATTTCAGGAAAACAAAATTAAGCTATCAAATGAAGCCACACAAGCATGGCAGTATGGATTTCATAGTTTTTTTCCCATGAGGTTGTAAACCAACCACCTGCAGTTCTCTGAGGTCACGGCTCTTCGGTCAGCATTCATAAGTATGTCTTGGCCCAGGCCAGACAGCCGCAGGAGTTATCAGACCCCGGTTTACTCGTCAATCAACTCGTGCACTCTTACTTTGCTCCAGAGCTTACAGGATGAATTCCTGCACAGATTCTGACCCACACACAACACAATGGCACTAGACCGGCAGGCAAAACAGGATAAGGGCTTGGAGGGATTTATTTGTGAGGAACTGGGGTTAATGGTCAGTCCATTTTGTTACTGTGGCCATATGGTTTCATATGACCTGACTACACCGATGCTGAGCTACAGACTTATAGCAGATGAAAGGAGTGAATTTTATGCAGTAAAGCAATGCTTCACTCTGAATTCATCATGGTTAAGGGGCTTTGTAGTGTTTAAACCCATGTAACCATGGTAAAAACAGTAATGCACTTCCTCAAGTGGCTTATTTCATAAAACAGCAGCAAAAGCAATGTGATAGAAGACACCAATGTTTAATAAATAACTAAATGCATTAACAATAATCACAAAAAATGAAATTCTTTTGCCAAAAATATAGTATATTGCGAATTTCATGTTACTTGATGAGACTTTCACAATTGTTCTGTTACAACGCCTCAAATTTCGAAAGTGCTGTATGCTTTAAAAACATGAGCTATGAGTTTATGTGCTTGACAAATTAGACATATTTAGCAACTTTTTAAACCATTCAATGATTTCAAAATTCATGTTTGAGGTATGACAGTGTGTAATTTATGTTGTAGAACAAAATGTGAAAGTCTCTTCAAATAATGTGAACCACAGATCTTGTTTTACTCTTAAAAACCCATTAGAAATTCCAGAGGGAGCCCATGGTGAATTAGCCTTCCGGGTCGGCCTACAAATGACTGAACAGCTCTATTGGCAGCAGTAAAACATAAGGCATGAGCCATTATAAAGTATAAATCATTCTACTTTGTTGAATAGCACCAGCTTTACGCACTTTCAAAATAGTTGTGCACGAAGTAACAGTGAAGAATAGATGGCTAGACATAAATTGATAAATCAATCTTACCTCCTGTGTTGAAGTTTTATCACACACAACAGCAAATGTCTCATACAATACCAGTTCTTTCCACAACGCTTGAGAAACACTGAACAGAACGTTAGAGTAAAAACTAGCTTCTGCTTTTTTATCTTCTTGTGCAATGTCAGGGCAGACATTCCTTTACAGTAATTTAATCACGTTACACATCTGACTTTGATTTCACAGTATTTCTCTCTATATCGCACAAACATAATTTTTTTTAAAGAAATTAATACTTTTATTCAGCAAAGATGCATTAAATTGATCAAAAGTGACAGTAAGGAAATTTATAATGTTACAAGAGTTTTCTACTTCATATATGCAGTTCTTTTGATTCTAAATTTTCTATTCATCAAAGAATGCTGACAAAATGTATCATGGTTTCCACCAAAATATTAAGAAGAAAAACTGTGTGAGCGTCAAATCAGCATATTAGAATGATTTTTGAAGGATCATGCGACACTGACGACTGGAGTAATGATGCTGAAAATTCAGCTTTGTCATCACAGGGATAAATTATTTTAAAAGATATAAAAACAGTTACTATAATTTTGCAATAATATTTCATAATATTACTGTATTTTTGATTAAATAAATGCATCCTTGGTGAGACGTCTTTTTTAAAAACATCTAAAAAAAATCGTACTGACCCAAACTTTTGAAGGGTAATGTACCAACGTGAAAACACTTTCAAGGTATACTTTTGCAAAAGCAAACAAGATCAATGAACTTATGTTAGAGAATGTCAGTATCTACAAATCCATGAACAGAGGAAAGAGAGGTAGATATTGATCGCAAGTTTACCTGTTCTCCTCAAAGCGACTGATGAGGTTGGACACTAGGCCCTTCCCTATTGCTCCTCCTACTCCTCCTCCATCCATGTTGTGACTGATAGGTGACGTTCCAGCAGCCAGAGGAAAGGAGACTTCCGTCACCAGACTCTGAAGGTGTGCTGGCTTAGGAGGCACTGCGGGAAAAGTCACAAAGAGGACAGAGATTATGTAATTATGTTTGCATGCTAATGTAACAAAGCTGATATTTACTGTACACAATCCAAGAAAATCATTGCACGACCAGTGTGAGTGGAATCTGGTTCCACAATTGACATTGTTAAAGGGACAGTTCACCCAAAAATGAAAATTCTGTCGTTAATTACTCACCCTCATGTTGTTCCAAACCCATTAAGACCTTTATTCATCTTCAGAGCACAAATTAAGATATTTTTGATGAAATCCAAGAGCTGTCTGACCCTCCATACACAGCAGGGGAACTACCACGCTCAAGGCCCAGAAATGTAGTAAGGACATCATTAAAATAGTCCATGTGACATCAGTGGTTCAACCTTAATTTTATGAAGCTACGAAAATACTTTTTTGCGCACAGAGAAAAAAATAATGGCTTTATTTAACAATTTCTTCTCTTCCATGTCAGTCTGACACACATTAGCCGGGTTTCCATCCAAAGTTGCGAATTTAACTTATGTGCAAAACTGGAATATCGGTCCGCTGGTTAGTCAGGTTTTGCTGTCCCATAGCGCAAAGTCACATCACTTCTTTGATGCTTTTGGAGGAATTTATTTGCAAAATGCATTTCCATCTCCCATTATTCGCATCAACCCTTTTTCGCACAAGTCAAAAACCACCTCAAGCGAGCGTAAAAACTTTTTTGCAAATTAAGGGATTTTTATTCGAAATTTGGCGTTTCCATCACTTGTTTCTCATGCGATACTTCAAAATGTGCATTTAAATAGGGTGATGGAAACATAGCTATTGTCACGTTCACTACAGTGCCATGACACATGCATGTGCATTCCTCTACTTGCAAACAAGGCGTAGCCACTGATGCCACATGGACTATTGTAACAATGTTTCTGGGCCTGGGAACATTTCAGTTGCATTGCTGTCTATGCAGGGTCAGAAAGCTCTCTCATCTTAATTTGTGTTCCGAAGATGAACAAAGGTTTTACAGGTTTGGAACAACATAAGGGTGTGTAATTAATGACAGAATTTTCATTTCTGGGTGAACTATCCCTTTAAGTGTCTTGCTTAAGGGCAAACCCGCCCTGAGCTTTCACTGCACCTTTAACGGCATGTAAGGAAGTGTAAAACAAAGTGCTCAAATAGAACATATATGTGGGAAAACCCCTAATAGTGAAGTTATTTTAAAGGGGTCATATGATGCTTTTTTATGATAAAGAATATCTCTTTGGTTTTGAGACTTTAGTCTTTGCAACTTCAGGGATCTTATCTATGCACAATCAGCTTGTAACACTCCAAAGAGAAAGGAAAACTTGAAATCGCATCACATGACCCCTTTAAGGAAGCACTTAGTTTATTGCAGGGAGGGCCACTGTCCTGCAGAGTTTAGCTCCAAGCCCAATGAAACACACCTGAATCAGCTAATCAAGGTCTTCAGACTCAAAAGAAACTTCCAAGAAAGTGTGTTGGAGCTAAACTCCAAGAGAAGGTCCTCCAAGAGAAGGACTGGACGTCTATGGTTTAGTGCTATTATACTGGAAGTTGTAATCGTCACAAGGTGGCAGTGTAGCTTTAGTATGTTGCAATGGAACCTGATAATACCCTGCAAGGTGAGATGAAGTGCATCTTGAAGCCAAAGAGTCTGTCTCTACCTGCGGAGAGCAAATCACAGCTAATCTTAGGGTGCTTTCACACCTGCAGATCGATTGCTTTGTTCCGAAACAGGGATTAAAATTATTACAATGTTGCTTTTTATTCTTGGTGCGGTTCGCTTTCACACGGTAAAGTTTCTAAATGGACCAAATTTGTTAATACAAGTCACGCGCGAGTAAACTGTTCTCTCATTGGTCAACATTTCACGGTTTATTTTCCGGGATTCCACATAGCTGTCACGGCTGTCATCCGTCAGGATGAAACGACAACAGCTTTGCGGGCTTATTGTTGTTGTTTTTTTTATAGCTGT